AGGGGAAGAATCGAGAACTCCGGGTGGAAACATTGCCGGCTGGACGAACACCAATGTCAGACACGTTGAGGCCATCCATAGGAGTATCTAGACTCGTAAGAGGGTTAGATTGCTGGTTTGTGGCCGCGTTGGCCTTGGCAATCTCTTCTTCATTGTTGATAACCCTTTCGGTGACCCGGGTGATGACTCGTCTCCCGTCTTCAGTGGCACGGGTCTTCTTCCAAGTCTCAGTAAAAACCACAGGTGCGGGTGGCGGTGCTGGGACTCCCTTCTGTCTGTCGTTGAGTCGCTTGAGGAACTCCTTCGCGTTCTCGGATTCCTTTTCCAAAGCGTTCTCGTGGAAGTTATTCCAGTCGTTAATGGCACGAGTATTCGTATTCCGTGTGCTCGGTGGTCCGATCGGACTAGGGCGTCCAATTGGATTGAGGGGTTCAAATGAGGGGTGACGTGCCTCCGGTGATGGCAAAGAATCGGTTGGCTCGTTAGGAGCAGAGAACTTGGGAGGGGAAGCCATATTTGACGGATCCAAGCCGAGTTGGCCTAGAGGATTTTCACGTGATGCGAAAGTTCCCAGAGGTTGATCAAAGATGCCGTTACCGAGAGTTGGAGTGCGGTCACTGCCAAACGGTTTCCATAGATTTTTCGCAGATGTAGATGGGACAGCGATATTTGGATGAGACCACGGCGAAGTAGAAGTTAAATTGCCTTGCCACTGAGTACCGTGCTCGTCGAGCTTTGAATCAGATGTCTTGCTCTGGACGGGTGAGTGAGGTTCGGTTTTGAAGTGGGAGGCAGATGCGGGTGCAGATTCGCGATGGGTTTCTTGGTGGGGTGAAGAGACACGTCGGTTGATATGTTTTTGCTCTGAGTTCCGGTCATGTGCACCAACGAGTTTCTTGACAGAGTCTGGATGATGCACTTTCATCATACCATACTGTTTTGGTTCCCGGTTAGGTTCTGGAACAGGTGGTTTGGGAGGTGAAGAAATAGAGTGGATGGGTTGAATAGGAAGTTGAGAAGAGGTGGGGGTAGGATGAAGAGGGTGAGAGTGATGGTGAAGTTGAGGTTGAAGAGATGGGGGGTTGCGCGTTTCTGGAGTCTTTTTCTCTGGCGCCGGACCCATCGCCGCGAGACGTTGCCTAATCCTCTCCTTTTTAGCCGCTTCCTCTTTCTCCTCCTGCTCAATTCTTCGTTGCCTGGCCTCTAGAAGTTTCTCCTTCATGATACGCTGTTGTAGAGCAACAGGGTCCTCCTGAGGTTCTTGCGGAACTTGAGGAATCGCAGCCTGTGTTTCCACAGGAGACATACCTACATCAACAGCTGGACGTGCTATACCATTTGGACCAGACGGAGCAATTTCGTCTTTGTCATGGTGCTGCTCGTGACCCACAATTGCTGAATCACCTAGACCGTTCACTTGGGAACCTCTTCGGGCATCATTGTATCTTAGAGGGGCATCAAATCGGCCAGCTGACATCCTACGGCCAAATCCTCCGCTTCCTCCGCTCACGTTTGATGATGTGCGACGGCGACCACCCCAGCCCATACCGTCCTGATGACTAGATCGGTGCGTCTGGAATGCGGCAGATGGCTCTGCCGGTCCACTCGGATGATCGTGTGGCCTCTGCAAAACTGCAGGAGCACGGGGGTGTTGGTCATGACGCCAAGTTCCTCTCCTGGTTTCACCCACCGGCTCATACTGGGAAGATCGAGGATTGAAAAGCTGAGGCAAATCTGACTGATCTTTCCATGCACGGTTGAAATCATCCGCTGCAATCTCCTTGGGTGGGATTGCCATTGAGGCATGATGGCCGTCATCTCTCTGGGGGTATCTCACGGGCATGCGCTGTTGGTGAGGCTGAACCGGGCCATTGACTGGGGACACTCTTTCGACAGGAGGCAGAGCGGCCCAAGGAGACTTGGATGGCGGTGCTGGGCTTGTAGAGCTAGATGGAACTTTGTCATTCGTACCGTTGGAAGAAGCACTCGCAGTTCTCGCTTGCCGTTCAGCGTTCGCTCCAACCTTGAGTACCATGGCACGGGGTCCCATTGATATAGCTGGCTTCGGCGCAACCTTGATGGGCTCCTTTACTATGCTTGGTTCCGCAGGCGGTAGCTCCTTAGGCTCCCGATGACTGGGAGCCGGCGGGGGTTCAGTGTGAGGTTGAGTGAGATTGACCTTAGTTCCGTCTGTCCACTCAATCGTCTCAGGCGCCCAATCGTCTTCATCATCATCAATATCTGCCCACTTTGCTTCGGAGGTAACAGCCCCATCTTCTTGGATACGAGAAGTCATATGAATTCCGTATTGTTGTTTCAATTCTTCATCGGTCAAGTGTTTCGGAGGAGCGGGCACAACAGCTACACGGATATCAATGTTAGTTTTCAAGTGGTTTCACTGCATCGCATGACCAATACATACGTCTATTCTTATTCCACACTTGATTTGGATCAGGCCCTGATCCACCAGGCTTGCCTCCGCCTGCTCCAGCCTTCGCGAACGAATCGCGCATGCCGAGTGTAGTCTTCGCAACCAAGCGCGGTCGGGAGCTTGGCTGTGGGGTGCCGAGTGGTGTTGTAGAGGTCGGCGCTGAACACGTTAGAGCCAACTATGAGACAGTTTAACAAAGAAGTTACCTTTCTCGGGCACCTTAGGTTGTGTTGGAGCCCCCGGAACCTTGTTGACCGAAAACTTGGCAAATGAAACTGGCTTGAATCCCGCTGGTTTTTTGACTGAGCCACTGTGAGTAGGATTCCTGCTGTCTGATCGGCTGGCATCCGATTCCGAACCACCTTGTGATGCTGTATCCTCTCCGCCGTCCGATGCCGACGCTAGGCCATTAAGTTCAAGAACTCGAGTCGCAACAACTCCGGTGCCTTGTTTAGAAGTATCCTGCACCCGTATTAGCGAGTTCTCATAGAGCGCATCCAGAAGCGAGCTCACCGTCGTCGAGCTTCCAGTATCCTTGTCACCGGCGGCTTTTCCTCCCTGTGAATCAGGAGGGTTCGTTTTATCATGGTTTTGCTGATCTTTCAAATTTGAGTTGTTCGATGTAGCGGTAGTCATTGCGATATGTTCGGTCTTCTCTGCGTCCCCTCCAGCAGATAAATTGTCGTTGGTGCTCGCAGGAACGTCGGAAGGCGAAGGCTCGCCGCCCGACAGGGTCTGATCTACCACATCGCGGTTGCTCTGCTCTGCCATAACAATACTCGATTCTATTCCATACAATAATTGCGAACATGTAAGCCAAGTGCCCTGACAGCGGGGAGATAGATCAGGGTCGTAATAGGCAGCTGCAGATCAATCATGCCAGATTCTAAGGAGACATACCTATCGTCAGATACCAAGGATCGCCACAGTTGCACTGGTTCCTTGACTGGTTGCACCCTGAATATATGGGATATCACAACCAGATGTAGTATTGGCCAACTCTCTCGGATGATGAGAAAGCCCGTGTTAAGTTAGGCTTGGTGTGGAGAGCACGATCGCGGAATCGATAGGCGCGTTTGTCTTGGGAAGTCCGCAGCCCAAGAGGTCCCAGAAAGGGATTAGAGCAAAGGGGGAGGGATTATGCGTAAGGACGGTTGATGATACAAAGATAGGGTGGATGATACGAGATTCAAGAGTCAGCTCGGGTTGAAGCTGAGGGTCGCTGTTTTCGGTTTAGCGTGGCCCGTACGAAAGTTGCGAGGTCTGTCTGCCCACACACCTTCAGATCTCTTCCAAAGCCATAGTTTTGTTGACGCTTCGTTTGGTTTACAGGGTGGGTTTTATGGATGATGTCGTTGCTTGCAAATGGTGAGAATTTCTGATATCCGGTTGAAGTTTGTATGTGATGAAAAACTATGGAAAGAGCCCGTCACTCAAGCTTCTACATAATATGTATACTTCCAAATCTACTACAAAACAACAAAGGATAGTAAATCTGAATATTGAAACACAGTGAGATTCTAAAGTTCTCGCTAAAACCACGGTTTTCCCTTGCACTAGGACAGAGGATCCAGTATATACATCAATCCTCCACCTATTCGGTGGAAAGAGAAAGCTCAGTGTGGGTGGTTCTTGTGGTGACCTAGTCAAGAAATCAAGTCAGTGATGTCCCCGCGATATAGAGAATATTTAAGCAGAGTAATAGCTGGAACACATACGCAGGTGGAAGTAGTATTCCATGCCGTAACCCATGATCAGGATACCGGCAATAGCGTGGACAAAGGCTGCATGAAAATCAGTCTCGTATCAATACAAGGTTTTAATGGACGAATACGTACGAAGACCGGAGGCGTTCTTTCCGTTGAAGTAGCGGGCCTGGTAGCGACGGATGAGGCCGGTAGGCTTAACATCAGCGGCGGGGCCACGGGGAAGGCCAGCGTAGAAGGTCACAACACGCTCCATGCGGGCGGCATCCTGGGCGGCACCGATAGCCTTGATTGAGAGTTTGTCAGTTATGAAGGCGAAAGAAAGGCGGCATTTTGATCATATCGCGAGTTTCACGAAAAACGGCTTCGGGGCGGGACGGGTGTGGAAGAGATGCACTAAGTCGAATGTGGTAGTGTATGGGTAACTCACGTTAGGGGAGGCGACCTGGAGGAACAATTAGTATCGTTTAAAGAGTCGATTGACTACAAATAGTCATGAACGGGGATGCTCTTACCTTGGGGGGGGATCAAGGTCGAGAGACCTCGGCGGGCAATGTAGCTCATCTTGTCTAGGCTAAAGGGGGTCAGAGATTGGGCGCAATAAATAGAGCGGCTGTCAATGGGCATTTGCAGGGTGGTAGAGACGTGGACTCACATTGATTCGCGGCGCAAGTGAACCAAAGAAAGCTGATGGAGGAGGAAGGAGGAACAAACCGAGCCCTGCGGGTGTTCGGCTTGCCAAGCCCGGCTAAACCCGATTCGGTGGTGTCGTGACCTGCCTGTCATTCGCAACCAAACCACACTTGAAGGGATCTGAAGGGACCTCACTGGCAACGACCATTCCCCGCATACAAAAAGACATAATGTCACTATTCAGAATCGGGGGTGCTGCTAGCCTTCGGGTCAGCCGACTTGCTGTGCCTGTCAATGCTCGTTTCATCTCCGCTAATGCCCCCATTGGCGTTCCTTCTGTGAAGACCAGCACCTCGGATGCTCCCACCACGCCTTTCAAGGACAGTTCCTTGATCAACAAGGAGACCCCCGCCGAGGCTATGACCCATCACAAGCTAGATTATGAGGCCACGATTGACCACGGTACCTCGTACGACATTTCCCCTTTGGTTCCGTCGCAGATCCTTTCACTAACTGTCTGGCTTCAATTAAGGCAATTTTCCCCTGTGCCCAAGCGTGTGATGGATGGCAGTGAGCCCGGCAAAACTCTCCCTGCGGCCGTGCTCTCCGGAGCCCCCACTGACCTTCAGGCCCGCACTGTCCGGTATGTTATACGAATTTAGAGCTTGATCACCTATCCACTTCCCACACACTAACCCATGACTGCCACAGGATCTACCGCCCTACCAAGGCCGCAACACAGCAAGGTACCTGGCACCAGCATCACTGGCGCATGGATTGGGATGTCTTGCAGCGGGGTTACCGTTGGGAGAACCAGCTCATGGGCTGGCAGTCGTCTGCCGATGGCATGCAGGGTACCAACCTGAAGTTCAAGTCGAAGGAAGATGCAATCGCTTTTGCCCAGAAGCAGGGATACGAATACTTTGTTCAGGAACCGAACGAGCGCCGTATCGTGCCCAAGTCCTATGCCAACAACTACGTTCACGAGCCCAAGAAGCTCAGGCATATCAAGACCAAATGATTTGACTTCGCGCTGTATTATGTACATATTTGCCAGTTTACCACTCGAATTCAGTTTCAAGCACTTCAATATTGCATTATAATATAAAGGGTCTCATGAGTTAGGGCTACGAACTACCGGTCAACTCCCATTCAACTACCAGGAGCAAAATGAAGGGAACAATGTGAATTCTACTTCGGTGTTGACACCTTGTTTTTTTATGCGTTTTGTGAAGTGGTTTTTGAAGTGTCTGCACATGTATATTCCTCGTGTCGCTTTTCGTGTCGCTTTTGTAAAATCTCAGGTTCAAATCAATGTATTCGTCTCAATGTAACTAACCGACATTACGACCTCTTTGCTAATGGTATGCTCATTATACCGATCACACGACATCTCCAACCCCATCTCGATGCCAACATCTCAGGTCCATCGGAGTATAAAACTAGATGGGGTCCTCAATGTATAATATAAGGCTTCCACTCAAGCTACAAATTCCCAGTCAACAGTATTGTACAATGAGATGAGCGTATGAGGGTCTGAGATCATTAATTTGCTAACTCTTTTTCGTCTTCATTTTATCGTCTTGGAAAGGTGCCTAGGGAAGTCTGTTAGTCAATGCTTGTAGCTCCAACTGTCTGGTATTTATCAAAACAGCCGTGTTCGGATCCCGGCGTGCTTTCTCCTGTATCCTGCTAAATGAACAGAGGGCACACGGACAATATACTAAAGCCTATAAAATAAAGGCTAGCTTGACTTATATAGCGCTTCAAACTAATCTATTCGAGTTTCTATTACAGGTGTGGCTACAAGTTTGGGACGTCTATATATCTCGCGATATGTGTACAACAGGTGAGAATATCTATTTGGGTTCTCGGTCATTTCTTGTTTTTAAAGCTCAAGTATCACACTGAAATATACATATGGGACGTTTGCACAACATACAACATTTGTATAGCATACAGCAAGTAGAAAAAAGAACTATATATCTCTCCTAAGATCAGCGCTCCCACCTACGAGAGCCCGCATACTCCACCCTTAAACCTACATTAATACATGATTATGAGCTGTAAGGGTACCTAGGTAATCTAATCTGCGACCATCAACAATTTTGTCTTGGGCTTACACCGGAAGCATTGAAAACAACAACGTACGAGCAAAAATCCAAAATCCATGCGCCTGAATGGGCCCCGCCACCCCACTCTAAAAATTGATAAGATCAAAAAGATTAACAACTTTTCTTTTCCACCTCTATACTCCCCCTCTGACTACACTCCTCAAAATGGGGTTCGAAATAGACAATACCGTTCCTACTCTCCGCAAGGTGCTGGTCTCCGAATCTGAGCCGCTTGCTCGCCGCTTCCGCGCTCTTTTCTCCCTTAAGCACCTGGCCTGCCTACAGCCTACCACAGACCAGACTCTCCCCGCCATCGAAGCGATCGCCGCAGGTTTCGCATCACCCTCCGCGCTACTCAAGCATGAACTTGCTTACTGCCTCGGCCAAACCAAAAACATCGAGTCTGTTGCATACCTGCAGCATGTGGTGAAAGATACCGAGGAGGATGCGATGTGTCGCCACGAGGCTGCCGAAGCGCTGGGCGCTCTTGGATACGCCGATAGCTTGGATATCCTCAAGAAATTGAGGGATGATACGAATGAACTAGAGATTATTCGGGAGACTTGCGACATTGCTGTCGATCGAATCTTGTGGGAGAACTCAGAAGAGCGCAAGGCCGAGAAATTGAAGCCTAGGTACGATCTGCGCGGGAGATTATATACCATGAAGAGAAATGCTGACATTGAGATCTTTGATTTACAGTGATTTCACGTCTATCGACCCTGCTCCACCCATGCCTCTAGATGCCAGCGCCGAACCCTGCATACCCGACCTGCAAAAGACACTGCTTGACACAAAGCTTCCTCTGTTCCAAAGGTACCGTGCGATGTTCGGCCTGCGCGACCTTGCCTCGCCACCAGATCTTCCTACAGCAGTCGACGCCGTCAATGCGCTGGCTAAGGGCCTCAAGGACCCCTCTGCTCTTTTCCGCCATGAGGTTGCTTTTGTGTTCGGACAACTCTGCCACCCTGCCTCGATCCCAAGTCTCACAGCCTCGCTGAGTGACCTTTCGGAAGTAGGGATGGTGCGACACGAAGCGGCGGAAGCCCTTGGCAGCCTGGGCGAGGAGGAGGGTGTGGAGGAGACCTTGAAGAAATTTTTGAATGATCCTGATCAGGTGGTCAGGGACAGTGTCATCGTTGCTCTTGACATGGCAGAATTTGAGAAGAATGGCGAAACCCAATATGCGCTGATCCCGGATAGCGCTGCACCTGTTGCTGCATGATGGAGATCCTGCAAAGAAAAAGTTTGTCTCGTGACGGTCGTGATTTTAATACTCTTGTCCCGCTAGTTATACAGCCTTTCTCCAAAAATAGACTTTCCCCACATCTTTTGTACAATCCGTTACTCCAAGTTTAATTGTTGGTAGTTTCCCTGTTGAAGTAGTTAGTATTTGTTGGGCATGCATAGATATATGCTTTCGAAGCGGGTGGGCATACTTGAATCCGCAGACACATCTGTAGAACACGGTACTTCCTTCATCGGCACTGCGCAGTTGTACCGTAGTGTAGAACATCTGCTTCCTCCCACATTCGTTACATGTACGGTCGATGATAGCCTCAGTCTTCCGATCCTCTGCTGACAGGACCTGGACTGCCGATAGTTTGGCTCTCAGTGCGGAGGGGAATGCGGAGGGCTTGGACTGGGACACGGTTGTTTGGGGGATTGTGTCTGTAAATAGAGGTCAGCAATGATTGATCTAGCAGCCTGGCAAGAATAACGAGTTCTATTCATGCACCTTTATTCCGAGTGCCGCAGACATCACAGTGTAGAATCGCATCTGCATTGCCGGTAGATTCTCGTAGGAGATTACCACAATCTGTGCAGAAAATCAACGAACCAATGGCAGACATGTTGAGGAGTGTAAAGTAATTTTCACGATCTGGATACTGCAGAAGATCAAGGTGCAAGCAAAGTGACAACGAAACGGGCCTTATGCAGTGAATAATCTATGCAACTTTTTTTTTTGATGCACGAGCCTCCACAGAGGCGGTCACAGACGGCAATAGGGGTGCCGTCACCCATACGGAATTCATTAACGCAGTTGCTCGTAGCTCAGCTCATTTTCTTTCAGATTCTGGTTTTTTAAACTACTTGAATGATCTAGGGATGTCATAGGGCGCCTGCCTTCTTTGCCATGTCTCTATCACGAGCATGTCAACCTGACTCGCGCCTACTTCTTCTTTTAACTTAACCGCGACCATGGACCAGAATGGACGACCTGCCGTTCAGGTGGTCATCAGCGGCCATGATCAGATGCCACCATATGGTTCCAATATGCAGTTTCAGAATCAAAGGTCGCTATCTGTGGATGAAGCACTGCAGTACTCATCTATGTCCAGCGCACCTGTCTTCGGTCTTGGTTCGTTCTTTCGCTCCTCAATTATGCTCATTTTTCTGACAGCTTGTATTCACAGACTGTATCCTACGTCCCGATGTTGGCCGACCTTCAAATACCACCTCTATAAACCATGTCCTCCAAGAAGGCCGCAAAACACTAAGTGCACTTGACACGGAAATGCAAACGGGACGGGACGAGTCTAGTCGTTTAGAAACGTCTCGAGAATATATCCAACAGTTGCTGGATGGAGACCAGCTGACAGAATTGTAAGGAGATTCGAAGGCTTTGAAAGGCAGTCAACTAATTTGGATTCCATAGCAAATTCAAGCTTCCTCGCGTTCCCACGCGAAGTCAACAGTTGCGCCCAAACGATCCTGACGGTACTACTTCCGGTCCTAATAGCCTTGGATCCTTTGCACGGATGGTGCTTAACTCCACCGACATTGCATTCAGATGTAAGCTCTGAGATGCCACAGATGTCTTTATAGTCATTTCACTGACCGGCCGTAGACCCCGAAGCACCCTCAAAGACAAAGCCCGAAAATAAAGACCTCACACCGAAGACAGCTGCTTCATTGAATCAGCGAGCATACATTGCGAACAAATCGAACTCGGCACCTTTCTCGGCCTCTTTTGAGCTGAATCCTCCTCTTACGTCGAGTCAACTGTCCGTCGTTATTCCAATCAAACCCGTACAACAACAACACAGCGATTACGCGAACGTAAGGAAGCCTAAACAGGAAGCCCATGACCAAGACGCCATGGCGGCGGTACGACTCAAGGACCAAAAAGAGGAAGCAGATGCAGCCTTGCAAAAGCTTCAAGATCTTCTACACGAGATTTTTGAAGCAGAAGATCAAATCGAACCCGATACTTCGATTCCCCCAACCCCTGACACGCCGAATCCAATTTTCGTGAACCCAAAATCTTTAGAAGTTCATGGATTGATACTATCATCTGATGCTCACACTCGCCTGCAGAAGGCCCTTCGGAAAATTGCAGGGTTCGATCGACTCCAGGACATACCGTCTGATTATCTTAACCGCATTCAAAAATTGTGCGAAAAGCCAATTATTGCTGCACAATCTCCCGACATTGGCTTAGGCGATTCATTTGGTGAGCTTGAGTCCCAGGAGTGGCTGGGTAAGATCGAGGATGTGTTGAACGCACTATTTGCAATCGGAACGCTGCTGCAGACAATGTCTGGGCGTCAGACTGAGCGAGATCTTTGTCCAGAGGATCTCATCGAGGCCATTCCCACGGTTCTCAATCAACTATTTGACCATTGCATTATTCCCGCAGTGGAATCGCGTCCTGGTGGCAAAGACAGCCAGCACTTCCAATTCTTCTCCGCCCAGAAACGGATCATTAGCACTCTTGTTCACCAGAGCAAAAAAGTTCTCACTCTTTTTGCAGATTTTCTGTCTCGCATTGATGTCTCCGAGGGGACGATCACGGCCGCGGAATTCTTTGCTGCAAAGCTAATATTTGTGGAAAATGCGCATAATGACAAAGACTCCGCTTTAGGATATCAGAAGTACGAGCCTGCGAGACGTGGCGCGATGG